TTTTTAATCGATCATTTCTTGATGGATTAACTTGAAACTTGGTAAGGTTACAGCTTGGTCCAATATACATGGATAACTTTTCATTTTTTTTTCTGAGTTAGGCCTTTTGAGGATTTTATAGGGTCAAAAATCAAACAGCTCAGAAATATATATATTGTGGGTTCCTATATGGTAATATTAAGAGCAATCAAGATGAAAATTGCTGAAAATATAAATTTACTCGCCCCCAACACATTGAGTTTCAAAAAGTAGGATTTACTCATTTTGAGTCTTTTTAAGGGGGACACACTTTGCAAAAAAGCATAATTTTGTGGGTTTTGGTCAATTACTCGGCCATATTTTGACCAATTTAAATAGAATTTGGTACAGAGATACATTTTTACAGGTCCCACACATTGACAAACAAAAATGGTGGACTTGCCCATTTTTTGTAATTATAGGGGGCCAATATGCCACAAAAAGCATAATTTTATAGATTTTTGCCAATTACTCCGCCGTATTTCGGCCAATTTACATGGAATTTGGTACAAAGATACTTTTTTACAGTTCTCATATATATTTGTACAAAATTGTGGGGTATGCCCACTTTTGGTCATTTTACGGGAGTCAAAAGGTTAAATAAACTCATAATTTTAGTAGATTTTGTCAATTAGTCACATTTCAAGCACTGTACGTGGAATTTAGTACAAAAATACTCTTTGAAGGTCTCAAACAGAGATATAGATAGTTTTGGAATTTTTGTCTTTTGCTCAATTTTTAATCGAGGAAAGTACAGTTTGGGATGCTCGTGAACTGTTTATTTGTTTGCCGACTTACTTACACGGGATTTGATATAAAGAGACCTTTTTGCACGTCCCAAGCAGTGATATAGATAGTTCGCGATTTTTCTGTGTTTTTCACGATTGTTCTGGTGTCAAAATTGAATATTGTTACGTCTCCGTTCGTTAATTAATTTTCCGTAAAATTCTTTCCGAAGAAACTTTACCGATAGAAGTCCTTTCTTAAATAAAACTGGTTTATTCTTTCTGAATACAACTTTGCAAAACACTTAATTTCAACAGTCGCGCTGTAACAAACGCTATAATTCACAATGAATGTCTCACGTGCTCGACTCAACAATACTCAGTTCAATTACACCTTGTTCCGTCACGTTGTGACCATCTTATATACAAGACTACCGAATCTAGTAAACTCTCGAGAAGTCAGGAAGGGACGTGAACGTTCGAGAAGTGCATGACGTGTTACTAGAGTCACGTGACCTCCGCTGTCGTAACACTGCCCCTTCCTTAGTATTGTTCGTCCATAACAATAGCCAGTTACACTAAACCAATAAACAATTCACAATAACGTGTTTGTAAATTCTGTACATTTAATTAAAAAAATTACAATTCAACAAAGTCTCTTAATTTTACGGGACGTATCTTCTTCCGTACTGGTCTCC